GCCAAAGTACCTAAAATTTAACTAAATATATGTTGAACTATTTAAGTAATAGGACACTTAAAAACTCAAACACTACTAGAATGTCAACTTCCTACATAATTATTTCGATTGTTTAACAAAATTATTTTCAAATCTGTATCCATATATCTAAATTTTTTTAATTCTAGCATTTCTTTATTATTCTTCATTAAGTCTAAATTCAATTCTCGCTCAGAAAGAATGTTTGACCTCTGGTGTGCGTCGCAATGAAAACACGTTCGATATAGTTTAAAATACATTTATGTTTATAGCACCGGAAATTAAACCAGCCAAAATTGCATCGGCTATAATTCTCGGATTTTCTCGCGCTGGTGAATTTTCCGCGGATGATCCCGTATCCGTTGCACGCGCGCGAGAAATTCGCCCGGACGTTTCACAGGGCCCGAGAGAATCCCGCAGGTAAAGGCCGAGAGGCGAGAGCCGTAGTTTACAAATAGAGATTCGTACGATGTGTACACGGTACGCTGCCCCCCATTATTTTAGGCTGTGGAAACTCTCCTTTCCTATCTGTTTATGGAATCAGCTGCCAGTAACTTCCTCGACGTGCTCACCTGCCGGGAGCAATGGACAGACCTTCCGAGGCCAAGAGAGCCTCAGGAAAATCCGCCGTTTTTTCTTCGGAATCCCGAGGCCGACAAACGGGTCAGCCGATTTTCAATTTGCTCTACGGGCCCCGAGTTTGCCTTTCTGCCTTCTTCAGTGAGTTAAGTAATCCCGGGGGCGAAACTGGCGTTCTTTTCGAGAGCGAAACGGTTGCGTGGGATTTTTGGAATGAGAAAAATAAATTCGATAGTTACATATAGAAAATGCTAAATTAAACTAACAATCTCTTAGGAGGAGTTGTTGCTGTAGCCTACAATATTTTCTTCTTTTTACAACAATATCTATATAATTATGTCAATATCAATATAATTTATGTAACAATATACATATTTACATAGAGCTTTTAAAATGTACAAGTATTCGCCAGGATACTTTTAACGGTACGGAAAAGCGCAGGAAGGAAACGCGAAAAACAGAACTCGTTAGAAGTCTTCTCTCGCACTCTGACCCCGCAAACTCGTTTTCCGACGACGATATCGCACCGCAAACCGGAATAAAGTACGCGACATCGCAGGGGCGACAGAGCCGATATAATCCGATTTTACGAGGAGGCCCCGGCATGGAAAGAAAGAGACAGGGAGACAAAAGGGGAGGAAGATGCTATCGGGCCCCGCGCCAGTCCCAGGCGATATAAACTTAGACGCGAATTAGTGGTGCCGCGATAGCATCTCATTTCGTGGCGAGCGTGCGATCAGGAATTTATCGAGAAATTAAATTAGGAATTATGCTAATACCCCTCCCTCCCTTCCCCCATCGCCCTATATAGACGGCATCTCGCCATAGTCGACCTCCATGAATGAGCGGCGGCGGCATCACGTTTCTCTGGTTATTTATGCGTTATTTGCACCATCCAATTAAAGGGTACCACCTTTCGTAAAACTGCTCTCACATGGCGTGCAACGTAATTTGCTGGATCGACGTTACGTGATCCTTAAATTTCGCTTCTAAAATTTACGCGGAACATATAGATTTAAAACTTGAGCTCAACATAATATACACTGAGACAAAAGTATTTGGTATATTTGTGACTGTAATTGCATGGTAAAATAATTATGGTAATAACCGCTCCATTTTTATTGTTATTACTGGTATAACAGTTAGTAATAACTTAGCGAGACACTGCCTGTCTCCTAATAATTATACATATTTATAGATATATTAAAAAATGTATGGTTGGTATGAAAAGGATTATAAATTGTGGTTAAATTATGGTAATTGCAATTTTTTCTCTCAGTATAATATTAAAATAAGTGGATTATATGATAGAGTGCATCTATCAAAAATCTAGATGAACCAATATAATGATAATAAACATTATCTAATTTAAATAATTTAAATTTGTTAAAAAAAGAAATTTGCTTGTATCTTCAATGAAGTAGCTGAGTCATTAATCCCAATTTTATGACACTGGTCAGTGTAAGAAAGATAACGACGAAGGAGCGGCTAGTTTTATTAATCGGCTGGTCCGTAAATAAGATTTACTTCGAAATTCCGTAGCGGTCGCTGAGATCGATTCGTCTACATTTTTCGTGAGACAACGGCGACTCACGTAGAATCTACAGATAAAATCTCTTCAAATTCCTGGCATTTTTTATAATCCTTGACGTTGATCTCGACACGGACGATGCGAGCATAAAACAGAATGTCTAAAGTAAAAAAAAAAATCTGATCTATTGTTTTTATGGTTATTAAGTATAATGTTTTAAAGGACGAAAATTACAACTGTGTAATGTTTTACAAAATACTTATATGCGATGATACAGAAATGACGTCCCAGCTAATTAGTAATTGTAACTTTCGTATAGATAGACCAATTTCAAGAAATAGATTTGACTACGACTGCGTTAATGGATAATGTGAAAAAAAAATGAATATGATGACGCAATTTTGTACATATTGCTTTATGATATAATATAATAATATAAAATTTATGTATAATGTAAATATTAGAATTATAAAATTTATTCCCATTAATTAAATACATCTTATTAAAATATAATTTTCAACTAGCTAATTGTAAGCACTTTTATTGAAATTAATGAATATTCCTTCTTTATTTGATATTTTATGCATGTTTTTACAATCGGTTTATACATATATACGATAAAAAAATGGTAATTGAATTTAGCATATCATTGAAAAATCTAAAAAAAAGCAGAGACAAAAATTGATTTAAAGATTATCGCGAAGATAATAGAATGACAAATTTCACGGAGATAATTATTAATTATTCCCATTGGGGGGTTAAATCGTTGAAGCTTCCAACATTTAAGAAATTTCTCTTTCTCTTTCTGTTTCTTCTTGATTCCACGTGGAGGAAAGAAAAGAAAAGAAGAGAAAAGCGTCGATCTTGGAGACGCGGAATAAGTGTCATGGCGGGGCTTCGAAATAAATGTCTCCTACACGCGATGAGTCACAAATCCTAATGAAAATAATAATACCCGAAAGATTCTGTTCTTTCGTAGCCGTGCAGCGCAACGAGGATAAATTTACTGCGCGATCTACGGACGGATAAGACATACCTGGGGACACCTCCGTCCGGTTATAGGTTCTACCTATGTAACGGGTGGTACAAAGATCTTTACGATAGACTCGGTCTTACATTGTTTCAATACGTCCGGGTTTCATTTTTATACGATTATACAGAAATGACAGTTAATCAGAAATCGTAACTTTCGTAATGAAATTAATTATAAGAAATCGATATAGCTACGACTGATAATAATGAATAACATGAAAAAAATGAATATGGAGGCAGTTCTGTACATTTTGCCTTTAATATATTGTATATAGAATTTGCTCTTATTGTCGATCATATATTATTGTATAATTTGTCTTTATATAGAGACTGATATTAATATAATCTTCTTGTGAGTTTAGTTTTCCATTCTGTATAAATTTTGTATTAAATCGTCTCGTCTTTAGGGCAGACAGAGATGATTTTTTTATAGCTACAATGTCAAAATATGTAGACTTATCAGAATTTAAATTTGGCATTAGCTAAAACACTTTTGCTCTCTTATATATTAACAAACGCGATTAGCATTAAATTAGAAAAAAATATTCTCTATTTAAAAAATTCAATATATATATATATACTGAGAGAAAAATATTATATAATATCTGAATTTTTCACTTTATCTTAGTTTTCTAAAGTTTGCTAGAAATTTTGCGACGATATGTCGCAAGCGAAACTTTTATCAGCATTGTTCTTCGAGACTATGATTTTGAGAGTTCAGATATCTTCCGTGCTCCCTTATCACTCCGGTAGTTTCTCTCTCATATCAAAGACCGGTTCTCGGAAACACCCCATAGACAAGTGTCGCAGCACTTGCCTTGAACAGTGCGATATCACCGGTCTCACGTCTAAACGACTTGTAAAACAAGCGCTTAACGATTGCTGGTACCTGGAGGAGATAGACAAAGAGAAAGTGGGAAAGACTGAGGGAGACAGAAAAGGAGAGGAATAGAAGGAGAGGTAGGTGAAGGGGGTTCAGTCGGGCCCGTAGGTCCCACGTGCTTCGAGGAGGTCCAGGCTGCTAAATTGAGTTTACGAGACGCCGAGAGCGTCTCTCTCGCCTTTTCTCATACTTTTTTTTTCCCTATTCCGTCTCTTTTTCCTTTCCACTACACATCTCTTTAAGACTCTGCCTCCCTACACTCGGTGCCCGCCCTTAATTCACAAGTACGAAAAAAGCAGAATATACCCTCTTCTCAGTACTTTACACACCGACACCGGCGTTATCTTAAGCGATATTATTTCGATTCCCAAGCTTCGCCGATCAGCATCGGTGGTTTACTCGCTGCTTTAAACGTGACGCTCGCGCCTGCGAATGCAATTAAAGTATGCCCCTAGGATGTCTTTATAATGGAATAATGGAGAACATGTCTCTAATGAGAATCGGTGACGAAATATATATATATTGATATTATACAATTTGCATCACTTTTAATTACGCAGCTTACTTAGTATTCGATATATTATTTGTTTCGAAGTAATTATAAATTTCTAGACAGAGTTAATGTCACTCTTAATTATCGGTATTTTAATTTTTGTAATGAGAAGGATTAATAATTAATTTTTTTTAAATAAGAAAGGAACAAATAATGAGACAGGAAGAGAGAGACAGAGAAAAAAAAAAGAGAGGAATACACTTTTAAGATTACATTTGATAATATAATTAGCATAATAAATAACAACTCTTAAACATGGTGTATAATAATGATGTAATTAGCATAACAATTTGTTTAAAATCAACTCGTGTTCAACCTGCCGTCTTTTACTTGGAATTTTTTGTATGTGAAACGTAGTATCTTCGCAAAAAGGCCACCTGTTTTTTTTTTTTTTTTTTTGAAAGGCACACACTGCTTTGCAATTTCAGTGGCCAGAGGGAGGATAAAACTCACGGCGGAGGTCTCGGGGATTCCAGCAGCGAGAGTGGCGACGAGACGAAGCGGCAATCCGGCCAGCAGCAACAGCAACAACAGCCGTCTTCCTGCGCGGTTCAACAGCAACAGCAGCAGCAGCAACAAATGGTGGACCATCAGCAAACCTCTAGCATGTACCAACTTCCGCCACCAGCTTCCGTCTCAGTTTCCAGTCCGCATTCGTATCACCAAGGCCACAGCTCGACCTTGAGCCATCCACACATGCAGCACCACGACACGAGTAGCGAAAGCGGCGACGATAAGAGAAACCTCCATCATCAATTACAGCATCATATCCAGGTGGGCACTCACGGCGCCCATGGTTTAGTCCATCCTGCCGCCACCTTGCCACCACCACCGCCTAGCTGCGCTCAACAGAAAAGTCAGCTAGATTACATGCAATACTATCCACAGGTAGGACGACGAAATAATCTTGAATGTTTATTTCTTGCTCGTATACGTTACTTTAATTTTTCGTAAAGCGAAACCAAGAGGGATAGAAAAATGCAGTACTCTTTTTAACTTTATTTTTCTCATTCTCTTTGAAAATGAAAAAATTGTTATATATTGTCTTTTTATGACAACGAAACTGGAAAATTATTATTATTATTTTATTCTGATATATGAAAAGTTAAGGATTCAAAAATATTAATATTTAAAAATATTCAATATCTCGAAAATATAATAATTGTAGACTTTTTTAACTCACGAATGCAAAGGTCTAAAAATATGTATTTGAATACTATGATAGTAACACATATATTTATATTTTATAACTTGTATAGAAATAGATTAGAGAAATATGAGAATTTTCTATGACAGGACTATCTAATCGGAACGCCAACCTCCGCGGATCTACAGAAGTCCTTACCGCACACTGCAACGTCGATGCAGATGGGTGCGATCGCCCCTTCTATGGGTGGATTGAGCCCGATGGGCCCCTCGACGATGCTATCCAACACCATGCAAAGCGTCAACACCATGAATACCATGTCGATGAACGGCATGGGCATGGGCGCTTATCAAGGCATGGGCTCTATGGGGATGTCCACGTCGCATGCGAGTTACCACAGCGGCCTCGTGCTGGGCGAATACCATTCGTTGTGACCTTGGGCCCCAAGTACTCAGAGCAAGAGGAGCCAAGAGAAGACTTAATGCACATCGGCGGAGCGCAAGACTTCCGATTGATCAAGGTACTCAAGTAGCTTGCCGAAATTTGGATCGGCAATAAATTATTACTGTTGAAGAAAAATAAAGACCTGCTGAAATTCATTTAACACATCGATTAAAAATTAACTTGGAGTGATATATATATATATAAATTTATTAGTTATCTTTAATTATTAAATCATGAAAACATGAATTTTACTTGCATTAAAAATATCTTTTTCAACACGATAATTTTTTGACGATCCGATAATGTCCGGATAAAAGTGGAGAGAAAAGTCTTCTGTGGATATATTGTTGTATTATCCTTGAGCTTTTCTCGGTGTATGTTTAGAGCGTAT